TAATAATAACAACAACAATAACACAATTTTTGTTTACAATGTGCCCGTTTTTCACGACAAGGCCGAGAGACAACTTGCAGTTTAACATCAATTTTACTCATAATAAACGTTTTTTGGGTTTAGATCGCGTTATTTATAAATGTGTCGTAACCCTCCACCACCCGACACGGCCAATCAGCAAAAAAGTGTCACGTTGACAAAAGACAAAATAGTTCACGACTTTAGCCCACCGGTGTGTTGAAGCGTGAAACCACATCATTTACAATTTTTGAATAGCACGACGTTTTCGCTGGTAATTGCATCCAGCATCAACGGGCAATTCGCCAGAATGGTGAGGCTCTGCTGTGTCTCCCGGTCAACTTGCGGCTCGCGACCGAGACGCCCCGGTGGAGCCGGACTCGGGGAGACCTCCTCCGAACCCCTCGCCACAAAACAGACGGGCGCCCTTCACCCGTCAGGTGGCAGTAGCGCTGGGTTTGACGTTGCTGCCGTTGCTGCTGCTGCTGCTGCTGCTCCTGCTGCTGCTTCTCCTGCTGCTGCTGCACCTGTTGCTGTTCCTGCGGTACCTACTGCACATGCTGCTGCTGGTGCTGCTACTAGTGTTGCTGCTTCTGCTGCAGCTGCTGCTCCTCCTGCTGCTGCTACCGCTGGTGCTGCCGCTGCTGCTGCTGCTCCTACTGTTGCTGCTTCTCCTGCTGCTGCTGCACCTGTTGCTGTTCCTGCGGTACCTACTGCACATGCTGCTCCTGCTGCTGCTGTTGCTGCTGCTGCTCCTACTGTTGCTGCTTCTGCTGCAGATGTTGCTGCTGCACCTGTTGCTGTTCCTGCGGTACCTACTGCACATGCTGCTCCTGCTGCTGCTGTTGCTGCTGCTGCTCCTACTGTTGCTGCTTCTGCTGCAGATGTTGCTGCTGCACCTGTTGCTGTTCCTGCAGTACCTACTGCACATGCTGCTCCTGCTGCTGTTGCCTCCAACTGTTGCTGCTCTACCTGTTACTCCTGCTGCTGCTGGCTGGTGCTCCTGCTGCTGCTCCTACTGTTGCTGCTTCTGCTGCAGCTGCTGATCCTCCTGCTGCTGCTACCGCTGGTGCTGCCGCTGCTGCTGCTGCTCCTACTGTTGCTGCTTCTCCTGCTGCTGCTGCACCTGTTGCTGTTCCTGCGGTACCTACTGCACATGCTGCTCCTGCTGCTGCTGTTGCTGCTGCTGCTCCTACTGTTGCTGCTTCTGCTGCAGATGTTGCTGCTGCACCTGTTGCTGTTCCTGCGGTACCTACTGCACATGCTGCTCCTGCTGCTGCTGTTGCTGCTGCTGCTCCTACTGTTGCTGCTTCTGCTGCAGATGTTGCTGCTGCACCTGTTGCTGTTCCTGCAGTACCTACTGCACATGCTGCTCCTGCTGCTGTTGCCTCCAACTGTTGCTGCTCTACCTGTTACTCCTGCTGCTGCTGGCTGGTGCTCCTGCTGCTGCTCCTACTGTTGCTGCTTCTGCTGCAGCTGCTGATCCCACTGCTGCTCCTGCTGCTATTCCTGCGGTACCTACTGCACATGCTGCTCCTGCTGCTGCTGCTGCTGCTGTTGCCTCCGACTGTTGCTGCTCTACCTGTTACTCCTGCTGCTGCCGGCTGGTGCTCCTGCTGCTGCTGCTCCTGCTGCTGCTCCTGCTGCTGCTGCTGTTGCCTCCGACTGTTGCTGCTCATGCGGTACCTGCTGCTGCACATGCTGCTCTACCTGTATACTCCTACTGCTGCCGGCTGCTGCAGCTGTTGCTGCTGTTCCTGCGGATCCGACTGCACTTGCTGCTACCGCTGCTGCTACGCACGCACGGGAGAGGGATGCGATTCGGCGACGATCGGAGCAGCGCAGTGCGGGTTGGTTTGGTTGAGGGGGGCCCCGTTGTTTGATGGAGTACGGCACGGGTAGCGATGCCGGGGGGCGCTGCTGCTGCTGCTACTGCTGCTGCTACAGCTGGAGAGCGACTGAGAGGGCAAGTGTGTTTTTAGCAGGGAGGCTCGAACCAAGAGAGACGACCTTACTTGTGTAGGCAGGTGGGAGCGAGCACACTTGAGACGAGAGGTCGCTGTTGACGTTTAACCATTAAGACGTTTGACCTCGAAAATCCCTCGAGATGGAACGGTCCCAGTTTGCAAAGGGGTGTTTGTGGACAGATGGTATGGGGGAGGCCTGCTATCTACTGGCACCTCCCGATTTGCATGGTTGGCTACAAACTGTGCGAAAGAAGTTCAACATACATACACGCAGAGACGCACAGACACGCAGGCACATAGAGACCCACAGAGACGCCCACAGAGACACCCACAGAGACACCCATAGAGACACCCACAGAGACACCCATAGATACCCACAGAGACACCCACAGAGACACCCACAGAGACACCCACAGAGACACCCACAGAGACACCCACAGAGACACCCACAGAGACACCCACAGAGACACCCATAGAGACACCCACAGAGACACCCATAGAGACACCCACAGAGACACCCACAGAGACACCCACAGAGACACCCATAGAGACACCCACAGAGACACCCACAGAGACACACAGATTAGCACGGTTGGCTTACGTACATTCTGAAAGAAGTTCAACATACATACACAGAGACGCACAGACATGCAGACCCATAGAGACACCCACAGATACCCACAGAGACACCCACAGAAACACCCACAGAGACACCCACAGAGACACCCACAGAGACACCCACAGAGACACCCACAGAGACACCCACAGAGACACCCACAGAGACACCCACAGATACCCACAGAGACCCACAGATTAGCGCGGTTGGCTTGCGTACATTGCGAAAGACGTTCAACATGCATGCGTACAAAGTAAGGCCGTGTTGAATGCGTGTTGAATGCGTGTTGATTGCGTGTTGAATGCGATCTGTGATGGAGGCCCGCGTGGCGTTAGTAGCGGGTGGTGGTGGCTGTGGTTGCTGATGGTTGTTGGAGGAGGGTGGTGGTGGTGGTGGAGCGAGGCGGTGGTGGTGTGTGTCTGCCAGGCTTGTGACTGTGGCAGCTGTACACACGTTTAACTTCTTTCACACCCTACGTAGGCCACCGCGTTCATTGGAGGTGCGGGGGGGGGGGAGAACAACAAACTGAACACAAAAAGGAGTCCTGAAGAATTGAGTTTTCAATTTAGATTTACAAGTTCACAGCCTCAGTGGCTTCCTAATAAAGAGACTAAGGGTTTTAGTGTGGCGGATGCATGTACGTGTGAGTCTGTGAGTCTCTGTGTGAGTCTGTGGGTCTCTGTGTGAGTCTGGATCTTTGTGTTAGTCTGTGGGTATCTGTGTGAGTCTGTGGGTCTCTATGTGAGTCTGTGGGTCTCTGTGTGAGTCTGTGGATCTCTGTGTTAGTCTGTGGGTATCTGTGTGAGTCTGTGGGTCTCTGTGTGAGTCTGTGGGTCTCTGTGCGAGTCTGTGGGTATCTGTGTGAGTCTATGGGTCTCTGTGTGAGTCTGTGGATCTCTGTGCGAGTCTGTGGGTCTCTGTGCGAGTCTGTGGGTCTCTGTGTGAGTCTATGGGTCTCTGTGTGAGTCTATGGGTCTCTGTGCGAGTCTGTGGATCTCTGCGTGAGTCTATGGGTCTCTGTGTGAGTCTGCGAGTCTCTGTGTGAGTCTGCGGGTTTCTGTGTGAGTCTGTGCCTCTCAGAGTCCATCTATGTGTATGTAAGTTGAACTTCTTTCGGGCCGTACGTAGCCAGCCGTGCCAATCGGAGGTGCATGTGACGTGCAATGTATCACAGATCTGTGATTGTACGCGCTCTGCGTTTGGTTATCGTAACGGTGTATGTGGCGGCGCGGTGGTCACCGAACTTTTGCCGTGAACTCGGCGAGCTGAGTTCTGGCGATTTCCGACCGCGGCTGACGTTGGTGGCCGGTGATATATATAGCCGGACCGGCGTTCTGTGGAGGGGGAAGCCTTCATCCGGCGCGGTCGCGTACATTTTATGCCATCGTGAAGTTGTCGCTCTCCCACGAGCCGTTACCGCGCGGTGCGGTGCTCGCCACGACCGATCGTCGGTTTCGTTTCGCCCGCCGTGGGGAGCTTCTCCGGGAAACTTCTTCCACGGCAAATCGGCAAACTCCACCCCCGCGCTCACGCGCGCCAAGAAAGCGGTAGCGCGGTCAAATCACAAGTTGGGTTTTCATAATAGTTTTTTTACCCTTCTATCTGGCAACTAAAACTGAGCCCTTTTTTTTTTACAAGGTGTCATGTTTGCATAGGCCACGATACCTGCAGCCATAATGCAAACAAGATGGAAGGGTAAAAAAGCAATTATCATATTTTGCTACTGGCAAATGAGGTTCCAATGGTGTAAATGCTTACCCCGAGCTCTCATACTCTGATGGTGGATTGTCTTTGAGTTGTGCGCCTTTTGGCGTCATCTGGTCCAACACCATGTGAGACTAGGCTCTAAGGAAAGCTGTCTCGGGTGTGGACCAATCAACTTCAAGGACAGTGCATACATTATCAGAGTTGTGTTTTTTTTGCATTACGACCGCAGGTATTGTGGTCTATGCAAACATGACTTCTTGTAAAAAAAAGGTGTCAGTTTTGTTGCCAGATAGAAGGGTAAAAAACCAATTATCACATTTTTTTACTGGCAAATGAGGTTCCAATGGTGTAAGTTGGGTTATCGTTTCAGCGCGCCGGGAGCGTTCAGCACGTTCCCAGTAGCGCGTGGACTCCTCCCCACGGGAAGTTGAGTTCAGCGCGGGGGGGGGGTGGTGGTGGGCCTGATATAAATATAAAACTAACGTACTTCTGTTTTTCTGCGCCTCGCCGACTCGGGTAACGCACACCCAGTGCATCGGAAGTGATAGAGCGCATCGTCTGGAAGTAAATATATTTATTTACCAAGAATTTGAATCACGATTAAAGCTGACGATTGCGCCGATGATTAACGGACGCGTTCGCCCACACGTTTGCCTGTTTCTGCTTCCCCCGTTCCTTTTTTTCATTTCCAGTGGAAGTGGAGGTTTCCTTGGTCGTCGTGACCACCCCTCCTCCCCTTTGGAGCGAGCCCGGCAGAGAGAATGAGCCATGAGGGCGCCTTTGCGTGCAACGCGCCGGGCTGCGGGCAGGTAATGGCAAACACGCATCACCAGCACCTCGATTCGTTCTTGACGTCGTATTTCATTTCCCCGCCCCCACCCGGCGCCTCTTCTTCGCCTCTTGATTTGGGAGTTGGGCCGCCGCGGTGGCGAGATGTTAACTACCTCGCCTGGTGTGCTGGAGGGCGTGGGTTCGATCCCAACCCTGACGCCTGCTGCTGTATATTTGGAGTTTGCGTGTCTCTCTCTCTCTCTCTCATCATCATCACGGTGGCTAGGAGATGTTAACTACCTCGCCTGGTGTTCAGGAGGTCGTGGGTTCGATCCCGACCCTGACGCCTGCTGTATATTTGGAGTTTGCGTGTCTCTCTCTCATCATCACGGAGGCTAGGAGATGTTAACTACCTCGCCTGGTATACAGGAGGTCGTGGGTTCGATCCCGACCGTGACGCCTGCTGCTGTGTATTTGGAGTCTGCGTGTCTCTCTCTCATCATCACGGTGGCTAAGAGATGTTAACTACCTCGCCTGGTACGCAGGAGGTCGTGGGTTCGATCCCGACCCTGACGCCTGCTGTTGTATATTTGGAGTTTGCGTGTCTCTCTCTCTCATCATCATCATCACGGTGGCTAGGAGATGTTAACTACCTCGCCTGGTATACAGGAGGTTGTGGGTTCGATCCCGACCCTGACGCCTGCTGTATATTTGGAGTTTGCGTGTCTCTCATCATCACGGTGGCTAGGAGATGTTAGCTACCTCACCTGGTATACAGGAGGTCGTGGGTTCGCTACCGACCCTGACGCCTGCTGCTGTATATGTGGGGTTTGCGTGTCTCTCTCTCTCCCCGTGGTCGCGTGGACTTTTCTCCGACTCCTCAATTTTTCCCTCCACATTTAGAATCGTGGGTTGGCACACACCGAACTACGAACCCGGTGACCCCAGTTCGATTCCCGCTCGGGGCCGCCGAAGCCGGTGACGATTATTCGAACCGTTCCTCTGGGGTCTGCCCTAGGCCGACTCGGCCTCAAATGAGTACTTGGTGCGGTGTGTGAAACATCGCCACTCGGGAGACAAAGGCGGCCGGGCGTGGTGCTGCTGCTCGCCACCCACCTCCTCGTGTGTCGTGCCGGCCTTCATAGCAGAGGTCGCAACCGGGTACCCGATACCCGTACCCTACCCAATACCCGGCTACCCGTACCCAGCCGGGTACGGGTACCCGTTTGCAACCCTGGTGCGGCCGGTACGGGTACGGGTAGGCCGTGAGTCACTGGTGAGTAACCGTTTGTCACTCATTTCGGGTAGGGTACGGGTACGGGTAGGCCGTGAGTCACCGGTGAGTAACCGTTTGTCACTCATTTCAGGTAGGGTACGGGTACGGGTAGGGAACGGGTACCCGTACCCGACCGGGTACGGGTACCCATTTGCGACCCTGGTGCGGCCAGGTACGGGTAGGCCGTGAGTCACTGGTGAGTAACCGTTTGTCACTCATTTCAGGTAGGGTACGGGTACGGGTAGGGAACGGGTACCCGTACCTGTACCCGGCCGGGTACGGGTACCCATTTGCGACCCTGGTGCGGCCGGGTACGGGTACGGGTAAGGAATCAAAACCCGTTTGCGACCTCTGCTTCATAGTTGCTGCTCACGAACAGCACTTGCCCCAAAAAGTCTCTTCAGGCTAGACGGGTGACCTTTGTCTTTTGTGCCACTTTCCGCCGAAGAGGTTTGCGCTTCGAGCCACGGGCCCTCCGGCCCGATTAATGCCGCGGGTGTCTTCGCCGTGAACATACCGCACGCCCTCTGCTGCGCTGGAGACTCTCTCAAACATCCCGTGATGATGTAATTAGAAAAAGAGGGCGGGCCGGGCAAAACACGCGCGCCACTGCCGTCCGTCCGAGCCGGCCACGTTTGAGAAATCGAGAAATCGGCCGTGAAATTTACCCGATTTTGGAGAAGCATCGACAACATCGGTTCCCCTACTGTCAGACTATGAAACTGCTCAAACTGAACTCTTTATTTTACACGGTAAGGCCCCCACTGAGCTGCTAGAATAGCTCTTTGTCAGAAGCGGTTCATCATCGTGTGTAAATTTATAGCATCGGCCAAATACCCTCAACGCATGTTTCTAAATGTGGAGGTTAAAGGCTGGAGGAGCCGGAGAAAAATCCACGCGACCCAAGAGGATAGAGACACGCAAACTTCAAATGTGCAGGTGTCGGCGTCGGGATCGAACTCGCGACATCCTGTATACCAGGCGAGGTAGTTGACATTTGACCACCGTACGCGTCTGTGAAACACCGCACCATTTTGAGCGGTGGTGTAGCGGTTAGCGCTACGCTGCACTAGAAACACTGCCACCCGAGTTCGATTCCCGCTCACGGCCAACACCGGTGACGATTATCTGAAACTGTCCTGGGCCTCCCCTAGGTGGACTCAGCCTCAAATGAGTACCTGGTGCGGTGTGTGGTAAACATCACCACTGGGGAGACAAAGGCGGCCAGACGTGGTGTTGGCCACCCACCGCCTCGTGTGCAGTGCCGGCCTTCATAGGTGCTCGCTAACAGCCCTTGCCCCAACAGTTTCTTTGGGCTGTACGGGGGATCTTTGTCTTCTTGATAGCCCTTGGGGCCCGACAAAGAATGGCGATGATTCCCAACGTGAATTATTGAAGGCGCTTGGCTTGCACCGAGGAACCCTCTGCAACACGAGGCAAACGCCACCACTCCTGCGCTGTCGACGATCGGCAATTTACTGCCGTGAGAGAGTGCGACATGGGGAGAGAGAGACGGAGAGAGAGACACGGAGAGAGACACGGAGAGAGACACGGAGAGAGACACAGAGAGAGACACAGAGAGACACGGAGAGAGACACAGAGAGAGACACAGAGAGAGACACAGAGAGAGACACAGAGAGAGACACAGAGAGAGACACAGAGAGAGACACAGAGAGAGACACAGAGAGAGACACAGAGAGAGACACAGAGAGAGACACAGAGAGAGACACGGAGAGAGACACGGAGAGAGACACGGAGAGAGACACGGAGAGAGACAGAGAGAGACACAGAGAGAGACACAGAGAGAGACACAGAGAGAGACACAGAGAGAGACACAGAGAGAGACACAGAGAGAGACACAGAGAGAGACACAGAGAGAGACACAGAGAGAGACACAGAGAGAGACACAGAGAGAGACACAGAGTGAGACACAGAGTGAGACACAGAGTGAGACACAGAGTGAGACACAGAGTGAGACACAGAGTGAGACACAGAGAGAGACACAGAGTGAGACACAGAGAGAGACACAGAGAGAGACACAGAGTGAGACACAGAGTGAGACACAGAGTGAGACACAGAGTGAGACACAGAGTGAGACACAGAGTGAGACACAGAGTGAGACACAGAGTGAGACACAGAGAGAGACACAGAGAGAGACACAGAGAGAGACACAGAGAGAGACTGAGAGAGACTTTTGACTTTTAAACAACTTTTATTGCCGCCAGCAGCAACAGCACTGGAGGCGATTTCGATATGAAATACACAAAGTCACCAGCAAACAAATGGAAATAAACGCTACAAATCCACGCGATGTGGCGCTAAAAGCAGCGCGCACAACACGAAAGAAAAGTCACGTGGTGGTGGTGGTTGTGGTGGTGGTGGTTGTGGTGGTGGTTGTGGTGGTGGTGGTTGTGGTGGTGGTCATCGCGCACGCCACGGTGACAAGCGAGCGCTTCAGAAGGTGAACACGAGGGTGCCGTCCACGCTGGTACAGAGAGGGGCTTTTGGAGAGAGAGAGACGAGGTGAGAGAGACGGAGTGAGAGAGACAAAGAGAGATACAGAGACGGCGAGACAGACAGAGAGAGACACAGACAGAGAGAGATGGAGAGAGAGACAGACAGAGAGAGACAGACAGATCAAGAGCAAGATAGGGAAATGGACAGAGAACCACGAACGCCACATAACTGGGATGTTTCCTCCCTAATCCAGCAGGCTGCTGTATCTTGACCTTCAGGTCGAGGGTGTGTGGGTATGTGTGTGTGTGGGTGTGTGGGTGTGTGGCGGTAGTGTAGCAGTGGTGTAGCGGTTAGCGCGCTGCGCTATGAACCTGGCGACCCGGGTTCGATTCCCGCTCACAGCCAACCCCGGTGACGATTATCTGAACCGGTCCTGTGTCTCTCCTAGGTCGACTCAGCCTCCAATGAGTACCTGGTGCGGTGAGTAAACATCGCCACTGGGGAGATAAAGGCGGTCGGGCGTAGTACTGGCCACCCACCCCCTTGTGTGCCGTTGCGGCCTTCATAGGTGCTCGCTAACAGCACTTGCCCCTACAGTCTTTTGAGGCTATACGGGGGATCTTTGTGGGTGTGTGGGTGTGTGGTTATCGCGCTGCACTACAAACCTGCCATCCTGAATTCGATTCCCACTCAAGGCCAACACCAGTGACTATCTGAACCGCTCGTGGGCCTCTCCTAGGTCGACTCAGCCTCCAATGAGTACCTGGTGCGGTGTGTAATAAACATCGCCACTGGGGAGACAAAGGCGGCCGGGCGTGGTGCTGGCCACCCACCCCCTCGTGTGCCACAGTGCCGGCCTTCACAGGTGCTCCTCGCGAACTGCACTTGCCCCAACAGTCTGTCGAGACTATATGGGGGATCTTTGTCTTTGTGAATTCTGCCCCTCCCAGAGGGAGAGAGCCCTGATGAAAAGTCCCGCTTGGCTCTCGCAAAAGTTGAAAGTCAAAAGTGAATTCCTGCTCAGATGTGCTTCGGTCGAGGCGTCGCTGCCAACCGTGGTGGAAATTCCACATTCCTATGGCGGGGGTGGGAGGGAAGGTGGGCCGAGGGGAGGGGGGCGAGGGTTGGGGGGGGGAACTCTCTACTTAAATAAATAAAAAGTCCTCTTCACACGTTATTAAACTCGAGTCAAGAAATACACACGTTCATATACACGATCATATACACGTTACATGTTACTACACGCGTTACTATACACGTGAATCAGCGTCAAACACACGAGGCCTGCGGATCTCCCCGTGCAGG